CCACAAAATTCTAAATCAATTTGCTTAAAGTTTCAAACCTATGTATGTCTCACATGGTTAAAGGTATTAGTGTCCCATGTGGAGCTTATGTCATATGCTTCACTATAATCAGATAGTCTTTCTTTAAAAAGTATCAGAAAACGTATTAGTGTTGAACTACCAGAAGGCACATGCACTTGACAGAAAAGGGAGAAAACACCACCTCCCTGCCTGCCAGTGAGGTATGGTCATGCCACACTCTCTTCCTCCATTTCTCTACCCCATCAGGATTTGAGGATTGCATGCCCATATGCCTGTTGTGTTTTTCAAGCTCCTGGGGCCAGGACTCAAATGGTGCCTGGCCATGTGGGTTCTGACTCCCTTAGCGACTGTGCTATGGGGCTGCCCCAACTTAGTATCAGTCTGATTTAACTCATCACTCCAGCTCACCCCATGGCCCAGTCCTTTGGTGAAAGCTGGTCCTCGCTTATGATCCGTCTTGAAAAACTGATGGGTGAAGTGCTGAGCAAAGAATGTAAACATCATATTTGTGCCTTGAGGATCAGGGATGAACTTTCTTCTCAGCAGGTTCCCAATCTCTTTTGAATCAGGAAGCTCCTTCTTCCCTGAAATATAAGCAAGTGAACTTAAGAATCTATCTGAATGTTGAAGCAGCAGAAGGTAACTGTCAATTTGCAAAGACATTCCTCACTTACAGGAAAATGGAGTTGTGAATAGGATTATAACATAAATGAAAGTTCTAAGGTATGTGGAACGAATTCTTATTAAGGAATTTAATCTATTTTAACTAGGATCAATTTTCATGAAAAAAACTCGAAAATATGAAAGATTATACTAAAATGCCCATTTGCATTCATGGGCCCATCTATATAGATTCACACTTTAAAATATGTATAATATCCATAGTAAAGGAAAGACATATATTTTGTTAACAAATAACTGGTCAAGTTGAATTTTCTAGGTAGCACTTCAATCTCCACTCCAATGAATCCACTCACCTTTCACGCCCATGGGCGTTGGGCAGTCGTCAGCCACAGGAGGAAGGGCTCTGGTGTAGTAGGAGAGGTTCGAGAAGGCTTCCCAGCTTTTGTAGCCATAATGCAAGTTGTAAGTGGGTGGACTCTCAATCAGATGTGCTCTGGCTGGAAGTTGCAAGAAAAAGAAAAAATTGTTGTCTTTGTCCCACTATACAAAGCCAATCAATGTTCATTTCTATTGTAAAATGTGGACCGTGGCACTAGAGGTTGAACTTAATCCAACCAATACACATATTCCATTTCAAAAAAACTCCACCTGAAAGGCTAACTGCCACTTAAAATGCTTCTTAAATAAGAGGCACTCTGCACAGGGCATTATGCTCTGGTAATCGTGGCTTTTCCAGGACAGGAAAAGTTGTCCATGGCATTTACTTTAGACTTAGCAAAAGTTATGATCCTGCCAACCCACATTCAAATGAATCATTAATTGTAATGGGTGTTGCTTGTTCTGAGCAATTCTCTGGCCATGGACATTCAAGAAACAACGGATCACAGTGCCTTTGCAAATTAGCTGGGACAATGGTGATCTAAAGCTAGGTGCAGGATCAGGAGTAGAGTCCGACTGTGAGACAGAACTGTATTAAGTAGGATGGGGCCAATAGTTTTGGCCAGTAAATTAGATGGCACACAGAAGGATATATTTAAATCTCACTTTGACAAGGTTGGGGATACGTTTGGGGGTTAGCTGTGGTAATCTACAGTACAACAAAGCATGTTCTTTGGAAGAAGCTGAAAATCTTAGCTTAGAAAGAGGCTTGCACTTACACGACAACACATATCTCATTATTGCATTTCGCAGGAAGGGGATGTTATTGATGACGTTCCAGATCCCTTTGAAGTGGGTCAGTATGTAGTGCACGGTGTTCGGAGTGGGCTTCAGTAGTAACTTTATCCTTGTCAGAAATTCAGCTGCAAGAGCAGAAAGAGAGAAATGAATGGGGCTCCATGTAAGACACAAATCTCTGAACTGTGTGTAGCCCCGTTCCAAATGAGGATACCCAGGGGGAACTTACGCGTGGTGCAGTTTTCTCCATAGAATCCCGTCCGGGTACAATCACACGTGTACTGGTCAAATCCCACACTCATACATACACCTCGGTTTTGACAAGGGTGGGAACAGCACGGATTTGCTACAGTGAAAGTAAGGAAAAAAGCACATCAATTTTGTGTCTTAATCTTGACTTAAACGTTTGACTGTTTTACTAGCTACGGGTCAACTTTACGATAATAAATTCAGGAAATAGGCAGTTGGAAAAAGCGGGTTTTCCCCCTGCCTCACAGAACGGCTATAATGCAGAAATACCAATCTCCTACTCTAAATAAGGATAACAGAATGTTCAAGCAGGTAAATTCCCATTACTCAGCTTTTTTCTTAGTAACTTTGTAAATGTTCATATTTGCATTTTTGAGAAGCTCAAACAAGTAGCACATATTAAATGCTTAATGAAGATGCACCTACGGCATTACTCAGAATTAAGGAAAAACTTCAAAGTAAACGCAACATTTGAAAATACGTTGTCTTTTAAAAACAGTAATAACCACGAAGGGATTTAAAACATCTCCCATTCAATAATACTAGGCAAAGCACACAGACACTCTATATAGACTGATCAAGTCTCATATAACCATAATGAACCTGCAAATCAATGTCATTATTTCCATCAAGCAGGTGAGAGTGAGTCTCAAACCGGTTAAGTAACCGGTCTGTGAGCTCAGAGCAGATGGCCAGCTGGGATACCGTCCCAGCTATTTCAGACTCAAGCGGTCCAAGCTCCCAAGTTCTTTACCAAGCCGAGCAGCCTTTCCTGTCCGAATGCCCCGAGTCCCAGGATGGACCCGGGAGGCGCGAAGCACCGCACATACCCACCTGCCTGGCTGAGCGCGAGGACGGCGCACAGCAGCAGCGCACGGGCGAGCATCGCGGGGGACGCGGCGGGCGGAGGCGGCGCGGTCTGCGGGCTTCGAGTGGCGGCTGCGGGCGGCGCTGCGGGGAGTTCCTAGGCTTGCTCCCGACGCTCGCTCAAATCGTTTGACAACTGGACGCTAGCAGAGAGAGCCTTCCTTTTATGCTCGAAAAAGCAGCCCACGTGATGACTGACTTCAGGGCGGTCCGCCCCCTCCTCCTCGTCTCTAAAATTGCGTAAGCCTGAGTTTGGGGGAGGATTTCTTTTTAACCATGCAGAGAAAAATCGGAAGCCCATGAAGGTGTCCCGTGCTGCGCCCAAGTGGGCGCGAAGCGTGCGCCCCCGTCTCTGCCGTGAGCTCGCCCACACCGCGAGCGCTCCCTTTCCCGGCGCCCAGCTTTGCTCCAGATTCCTTGGTCTTGGACCCAGCGCGTCCGAGAGCCGGTGCTCCGGCTGATCGCTGAGCTGGACGCCCCGCAGGGGCAGGGGCAGGGCCAGGGCCAGGGCCAGGGCCAGGGCCAGAGGACACCGCTTCCTCTCCGGGAAGCCAACGCCGCTGAAGCCCTAGAGCGCAGCGGGTCCCTTGTCCCAGTCTCCGCGTCTGTGGGCGACCCGGCAGCCACAGTCGGGACCGCTGGGG